CCCCCCACCATATGCCCTTTGATTGTTATATACGTATAGAGGTATCGTGTAGAAGTTTCTCAGTTTCTTTGTGAGGATGGGCTACATTTTCCTGGATTCCTGAGAATTCCCCCGTGCTTATGTGTGGAGGAGGGGCTAAATATTCTAGCACGGACATTGCCCATGGAAAGCCAGTTATCCCAAAGCTTCAGTCATAGGAATGGTAAAGCCTGTTTTATATGCACAATGAGTCAGTCTTTGCTGGTTATGGACCATAGGAAGGAGATATTGGCAGAGAGGGGGTGTGGTCAGTGGGGGTCAGTAGCTTTGTATCCCCTCCAATGTTGAGATCAGCCAATAGTGATAATTTTAGGCTCACTTAATATAGTGAAAAATATTGGAGGAAGCGCACATTGGCTGGTGCATTTTTCTGTGCACTTTAAAAGGAATGATTGGGAACGCTCATGCATGACTTGCCTTAGGGGAACCAGTAGGCCATTGAAGAGTGTGACAATGAGAAGTAGTTTCCTGAACAAGATTGAAAAACAACACAACTTCTCATTGTGAACCAGGTGAAGGTTTACAGAGCACATCAGTTTTCCATGAAATCATTTCCATACATATTTTGCTTCATCGTATTGAGTGATTGCAATTCCCACAAAGAAAGATCACTTCTCCCAATTTCGAACCTTTCTGAACTTTGTCCTTTCAACAAGGTTTTGGAGAGCTTGTGAGTCAGAGAAGCAGAATGCAGAGCAGTGACAGGTGTGAGTGTGCTGCTGACCAGTGTGTGGTGCGGGTGAAGGGTGCACAGAGCTGAGAAGGGGGCTCTTGAGAAATCGTTCTCCCTAGTTGCACAAAGGAAAAAGGCCACTTTCATTTTCTCTGAAAGAAATAAATAGAATGACCACATTGTTTGGCAGATGTTGCAAAATAGAAAACAGTAGTTAAGCATTCATATTGTAGCTACCACCCCATTTGAAAGAATATTGGACATATTTGATATATATAAACTCAGTGTTAATGATAACTCCTAGAAATAGAGTCCACTGTATTAGGCTATCTGTTGTCTTGAGTTAGCAATGAGTTTATGATGAAACTGAGAAATATGATAGTAGTGTAAAATAATTGAAAATAAAGGCATCATGGTGCATATATTTAACCTGTTTTACTCTAACGTTGCCTAGATTTAAGCGATTGCTTGTAACTTATCACTATATTATGATTTCTTAGGTATCAAGCCAAGGTTTGTTCTAGAAGTCAACTGCCCTTCAATTTTTAATATATTTCTATAAGTCAGAAATCTTATTTGCAATTTCAGTTGCTGCTTACCAGGGGAAATGAAGTCAGCTTAATACATACATATTTAAAGTTTTATGATATTTTAATAAAGGTTTATGATGTCTTTTGGGGCTTAGTTCTCTTACCTTTCAAAACTAGTAAACACCTGCTATGCTGATTAAAATTCTGAAATTATTATACAGCAAAAAGTATCCAGAAAGCTAACAAGGGTTAATAAAACACCTGAGTTTAAGAACAAACCGAAACTCCACACCATTGAATTGATTCCAACTCATAGCAATATGGTTTCCGAGGCTGGGAGTTAGGGTAGCCGACAACCTCATCTTTCTCCCTTGGAGTAGCTGGTGTTTTTGAAAGGCTGACCTTAGTAGTTGAGGTTACCAGGCCTAAGCTTCCAGAAGAGTGCCACCCGAGGGCCACTCTTAAGAACAAAGCAAACAGTTAAAAGTTGTATTATTCTTTTTTTTGGCTCCATCCTGCCATATTCACAATTGAGCTTAGCTTATTTAGAAAATAAAAAAATTATTCAGGTTATTTAAAATAAAATAGAATTAAAGCTAAGTCAGGGTTTAAAAAAAAAAGAGACAGAGGAAAGTGAAGGGGACACGCAGAGTGCCCACCCAGGAATTCCCGCCGGGATGCACAGGCCCAGGATGGGAAATTGGAAAAGCCCAGTTTCTCCATAGCCCAATCGTGTGCAGCAGCTTTTCCCAAAGTGTGCTCTGCTGTGAGGGCTAGAGTATTTCTCCTGGAGAGAGGAGGAGGCTCACTTGTGCACATCAAACGCTCTGGTCGATGCTAGGGTTAAGAACAACTGTAACAACAGTAATTCTCAAAGCGCATTGGGCTATTGTTCACCCAGATTTCCATTCTGGAACAGATACTGTTCCCCTTCACTTCTGGGGAGCCCAATAGGATGAGACTGGCGATGGGTCTCTTTGGATCTCCCAGAACCAGTGGGGTATGCGTGTAATGCCACGAGCCAGTCGCGTCCGTGGTCAAGAGCTGCCTTATCGACAGCCATGCATTTCTGATAGCTGTTTTCATAGGGTTTCCCTCAGTAATCAAAGGCAGTCCCTAAGAAGCTTCAAATTGTCTTGCCAAAAATGCAGTGTTCTAATTTTCTAGACAGTGGCCTGGGTTCTCTCTTTCTAACAAACATCCTTTCTGTGTCTTTGCTCAGTGATTTCGACCTCATTTTTTCTAAAGAGGGGGCAACAACTCGAGGCAAGAGGAAACGCACAGCAGAGGGTTTAATTGGCTACTGTGGGGTGCACCTGGCGGTGTGACAGGCAGGCACCGAGAGGGCACAGGAAGCTGCCCCAGACAATGCGAACTGTCGGGGGCTTCTGAAAACGGTGGTGTCGGAGGGCTCACCAGGGTATTGTGTTTGAGCAAAGATGCAGGGAAGAGCAAGAGTCTGGATGACAGGCCTTCAAACAGGAGGCAGCAGCTCTCCTGGCAAACAAAGGGAAGTTCACACAGCAAAGAGAACACATCGTAACAGATCAATTTCTCCGCGGTGCCAGCTCAGATACAGCGATCATTTCAGTAAGGTCATCTTCAAATTGGAGCAGCCGATTTCCCAACACTTCCTTTCCATTGGGGTCCAGGATTAATTCTATCCATCCATCCATCCATTGATTTAGGGATCGTGGTGATTGCCCTGGGTGTTTTGTGCATAATAGGAAGAAATATGAATATGTTTCAACACAACCTAACCTTCTGAATGATTGTCAATGGGGACCGAAGGCGTAATTGATTTTGGTGTAAGGCATGGAGGACAGGACTCACGTTCTTTTGACTGTAATCTCAATGTGATGAAGGTTTGTTCTTCTTCTCAGGCCAGAGTGCAGCACTGCATCTGTTCGGTAGCCAGTGACCACTCTGTAGGGCTCCTCAGCCTGCGAGAGAAAAAATGTATTATGCTGGCGTCGCGGCACCTTTTCCCTATCCAAGTCATCAAGTGGAGGCCTCCTGATGACTACCTGGTTGTAGGATGCTCGGACGGCTCTGTGTACGTCTGGCAGATGGACACTGGTAAGTCCAAGTGCAAGAAAGAGGGGATCTGAGGGGGGTAATTCGATTTCTGAGAAATTCAGAATACATGAAGAGGGCTTAAAAATGTTCAAGGAAAAATGGGTTAAAAGATAAATTATTTCCATGGAAACGCACACGCACGCATGCACGCACGCAACCCCCCATCCCACCCCCTGAAATGTCAATACTTTTTTTCTCTAAAAGTGGTAATCTGCTCTGTAAACTTTCACCCAAATTACAAATAAAAGGTAAATTAAAATTCCCCTATCATTATCAACAAGGAGCTATTTCATATTTAAGTGCCTTCTTATTTGTGTTGCTAGGCCAATTACCATATATACTCATGTATAAGCCGAGTTTTTCAGCACACTTTTTTTGTGGTGAAATTAGGTGCCTCGGCTGATCTTTGGGGTCAGCTTCTACTCGAGTATATACAGTATTTGTAGAGCAGTTCTTCACCTTTAAGGGCATGCAATTGAAGACCGTATACAAATGAGGACCAAGCTGAAAACCAAAGGCATGGTTTTCGAGTCAATGCTGATTCCTAGTGGCCCTTTTAGGCCAGAGTAGAGCTGCTTCCTGGAGTATCCATGCCTGTGAATCTCTGCTGGAACAGATAGCCTCATCCCCACCCCTCCTAACCCCCAGTTACTGTGTTTGTATCACTGACCTAATGTTAGCCCAATGCCAAACCCACACCACCGCCAGGGCCTTTTCAGAGGACAGACATAACAGAAAACTGAGCCTTACCCGTGATAGAAAGAGAAGCAATTTTTACGTAACCCATGAGGCCAATCATGTATAAAGTGAATGAGTCATTGCTATCTTAGCTTCATAAACAATGGATCTGAGAAAAGTTTCTTTTATTTAAATAGCAGAAAAGCAATATTGGACAGTTAAGTGTAGGAGGTGAATGAAATAAAGGTTTCACATTCTGGGTAGAATTCTCCTGAGCAGCAGCTGGTGGTTTTTAACTATTAACCTTGTGAATAGTTAGCAGCCCAGTCCATACCCTCGGCCCCACTAGGACCCCTGGTTGGTAGTAGTCTTAGAAGAGTGTGTCCACCTGGAAGTGTGTCAGACATTCTGGTTTTGTACTTTTCTCTTGCCTGATTGCAAAAGAGATTCTTCCTTTTGTTTAAGAATTTTAAAGCACAAAAGTTTTAGAAGAGAATGAAAAATTAACATTATTATCCAACGGTAAATATTAATGTCAGGGCATATTTCTTTGTGGCCTTTTTCTGATTATTTTTGAAAATTTAGTAATTTACCTTTTATTTGTAAATTGGGTGAAAGTTTACAGAGCAGATTACCACTTTCTTTTTTTTTTTTTTAAAGTAAAAGGGGAGAAATTTATGGGCCTCCATATGGGAAACCCTAGAGGGGCCCAGCACACCCTGCTGTGTAGGCATGCCCAGCAAAAGGTCTCACCATTCACTGTACCCCTATGTCCCAGAGGGACTCCCTTTGAGCCGAGCCCCAAAGCCACAGGACTGGCTGGGGTGGGGACTTTCACATTCAACATTTTACATAGGCATTTTGTCTCAGCTCATTCACTCCAATCCCTTCAGTGTAATATCACATATCTCATTTCCTCTGCCTTTTAAAAGGCATAAATTACTGTCAGAGCCATGTGCAGTTTTGCACGTTGCTTTAGTGTTCATTGATGCTTTTGCCCCTCTCCTGCGGGACAAATGACAATCGTCATGACTTTATGTGTGTGGGTTTGCACCACCATCAAACTAAGCATCATGTGTTCTGTCCTAGACTCGGAAGGCAGACTGCTTGGTTTAAATCTTTTCTGCTCCGTTTGCTCATTCTGTGGTCTTAGACAACTCGTTGGACTTACGCTTTTCTCATCTGTAAAATGAGACTCTATTTCATTTCACAGCTTCTATTTCATAGCTTTACTGGGAAAATCAGATGAGTTCGTATTAATCCGGTGGGCGGTAAGCATAATTTTGTGTGTGTACACATATATGTATGAGTGTGTGTACTTGTATTTATGTTAACTGCTATTATTTAGTAAGCACATTGTTTGACTTGTTATTTTCTTGAATTTTAGGAGTGCCTACAATTAGAAACATAGTCTTTGTTAATTAGTGTCAAAAAAAGTATTTATAACAAAAATGCCCTCCTTGAGACATTGTATTTAAAATACTGTAAATTTTAAATCAATAGTTGCTATTGACATTTCTTTAGTAGAAAAGTATGGTAAGCTTTTCCAGGACCTGTTCAAATCAAATAAGATTAAGTAGAGTATCATTTTACTGCATTTCTCAGATATTTAAATATATGAAATCCTTTACAAATGAGACCTTACTGAAAAACATGACTTTTCCCGTAATTTTCCTAGAAGGAAATGACAAATAGTCCCTGGCTATAGGGATACTGGCGGGTATTATTCTTCTGAGCAGCCTCGTAGTCTAGTAATTAAGCTCATAAGCACAATATATAAGATTGAAAATTCTCAGTTATCTTTTGACCTTTTAGAGGATTGGGGTAAACACCAGTCAATACGACAGTCTTAAATCGAGATGAACATAGAGAAGCAGAATTTATTCTGGATTTCCACCATAATAGCAGGTGTGCATTCCCTTTTCCTGCTTGTTGCTCAGGCCTTCGCTAGTGATATAGAGGTCCCTAGGGAGGCAGGAAGGCACATCCTGAAGGTATTGGCATTATTTATTTATTAAATTTATTTATTTATCAAATAAATAAAAAATGAAGCGAGGTAAATCAGATTCAGACAAGGTTTGATGTATGAAATGTATTTAAACTCTGAGAAGAAACTATCCTTCTTCTTAGTGCCCTGGGAATATATTTTTACAATTGAGGGCATGTTACACTAATACTATTCTTGCATATTGGGCACTTTTTTCTTATGTTTTCTGTGGTGAATGATCCTTGTGTTTCTAGCTTAATAGCACGTAAGGTTGTCCTTCTATGCCCTGTACATTTTCCTTTTTTGGGGGGGTCTTTCAACCAGGTCATTTTTATTTTCAGTGCTTATCTCAACGATTTTGAAGCCAGTAACATGAATGGAACTGGATAGAGAAGGACAAGGAATCGGATATGGATTTTTAAGAAAAATTGTGAACTTCTGTATCGTATGAAATCAAAGCTCCTCTAGAAGAAGCCTAGCTAAAGGGGGGCAGATGCGGAACAAAGTTTTAAATATTCATGGAATCTAGACTTTCTGGAGCCATGGAGGCTGGATGAACCCCTGAAACGATGGCCCTGAGATAATAAATCAAAAATATCCCTGAAATCTTCTTTAAACTAAGCAGTCATTTAGCTTAACAGTAAAGAATGTCTGCCCTGAACACACTGCTCTTTTAAGAAATAACTCTAGGCGACCCAGTTGACCAGGTCAGCTTGAAAGGCTCGACAGGACCGTGAGGGGCAGCGAGTTAATGGAAGCAGAGTGGCTAGGAAAGGAGGGCGAGAAGGGTTGCACAGCTAAAGGGGTTATTAGTGTCACTGAATCAGTACAGATAGGAACTGCCAGATTGGTGGGTGTCCTGCTGTGTTTATTCTCAACAACGGGAAAAATAAAATCCATCGTACATATCTAAGAAGAAAGAAGTGGATATGCCATTGTGATAAGGGCCATAGAGCTTGATGGTCATCTGGCAGGTGGCTGATGGGATCCACCCAGAGGTGCCTTGGAACACAGGCCTGGGGATCTGCTTCAGAAAAGATCACAGTGGGAGCTTCCCCAGGGAGCTGTTTACCCTGTACACATAGACCGCTTTTATACGGAGCTGTTGACCTGCTTTTGGGATCAGCTGTCTCGTTCTTCACACTTGCTGTTCCCAGTAGGCTCGCAGTGTTATCCCCACAGGCCTTGGACAAAGCCAGTGTCTTGTCTTTTTGGGAATTAATGGGATGCTTTAAATTATGACTTAGTTACACAGTATTCTTCTTATCTACCATTACCAAGCTTCTACAACATTGCTGCCTGCCAAGTTTTGTCGTTTTTGCTACATGACATGGCAAAAATGACTTGTTGCTTACATGGTATATCTGCACCTCTAGGGACAGTTATCAGATCTTCTTGCACAACTGCAAATGCCACTGAACATTGGCAAAAAAAAGTAATAGAAATAGGTTTTCAAAGTCTTGTTAATGTACTTGGTCCTGTTCTCCCTCCCCACCCATATTGCTAAAGTACCGTATATACTCGAGTATAAGTCGAGTTTTTTTAGCACATTGTTTTATTCTGAAAAAGCCCCCCAGTTTTTTAAAAATACTTTTATTGGGGGCTCTTATATCTGTTATCACAATCCATACATTCCTCCAGTGTGTCAAGCACATTTGCACATATGCTGCCATCATCATTTTCAAAGCATTCTCTTCCCACTTGAGCCCCTGATATCCACTCCCCAATTTTTCCCCTTCCCAGCCCCCAGTTTTTTTGTGGTAAAATTAGGTGCCCTGGTTTATCCTCGAGTATATAGGGTACATCTGTTTTTATATTTACTTCATGAGCTGTGCACTAAAATCATCATTTTGACTTCAATATCTAAAAAAACATAACAAGGAATTAGCAAATATTTGTATGTTGGAAATGGATGTAGGATGTGAAGAACTAGACACAGGTGTGCTGTGTGCTCACTTCGTCCTTGCTGAGTGCAGTTTGCCTAGGATATAAACAGACAAGGGTGTTCATATAAGGTCTTGGTTTTTAAAAAAAAGGTCTTGGTGATGTATTGTTTTTGGTTAAAACTAGCTTTAACAAAAAAAAGGAAACATTTTGTTACTTTTTGTTTGTTTCTTAAACCCTTATTTATATGATATTGGGTGGTGGGGGGGAGTTCGTGTTTTTTTTTCGTTGTTGGCTCAAAATATACTTAATCGAACATATACCAATTCAATAATTTCTCCATCTGTACTTCAACCACACTGCTGTGTAACCATTCACTCCACCAGTTTTCTGCATCTTTGACCTCTATTAACATAAGCTCACTATCCTGTAAGCTTCCTAACTAGCTTTTCAAGTAATTGTCACTTTTACCCATATACCGGTAGATAAAACCCAAACCCCACTGCCTTTGAGTTGACTCACAGTGACTCTGTGTAGTGTTTCCAAAGCTGTCAGTCTTGCCAGGAGCAGTCTGCCTCATCTTTCCCTGCTGGACTGCATAGATGGTTCTTTAATAAACACAATGCTCAGGGAAGCCATTCTTGACTACGTACGCTAAACTAATGCTTGCCTTAAAAAAGACTTCCAGGGATATTTTAAATTTAAGGCTTAACAGTCATCTCAGGCAATAGTTCCTTGGGGTTCATCCAGGCTCAGCGCCTCCAGAAATTTAATGATTTTATATTTATTGGAATTATCGTTTTCTTGTAACTAAGATTATCAAAGAGATTCAAGAGGTGCTGCTTTGGTTCAGTCATTGATTAGTCAAAGATTTTAGGGATAACTATTTTTTTTCTCCACATTTGGCTCTGCTGGCAGCATTTAATACAGCAGAGCTTTTATTGTACTGGTGTGTTTCACAATAAATTGCCGTCAATCATATGGTCACCTTTTCTATTTTGTCTACGTTTCTGTTTTTCTTTCTGCTTTTAAAATGCTGTGGAAGAGGAAGGCACTAAGAATGGAAGAGTTAAAAAAAGCCTTGTGAACACCAAATATAAGCAGTTTCCTTCTCTGCTTTTCATGGTCTCCTTCAGTTTCACAGTCGAGGTTGCTGGAGGGGAGCGAGGACTGCCTTTCAGAGTGGTCTCTGTGCTCTGCCCCTCTGCAGCTCATGGTTCGGCTGTTTTCATTAGTCCTCCCACCTCCTTTTCTCTTCCCAGGGTGCCTTTCTCCTTGATGGCATATTCCCCTCACTTCAGTTGTCTTCTTTCTTGGTTTGCTCCCTACTCATTTTCTCTTCTTAGCCATTCCACACCAATTTAATTGTACGAAACAAAGCCTCAACATACCACTGATTTAATTTTGAAAATCTGTAAATGATGGTAGTTCATACTGCCTTTAAGACCAGGTTCTCTGTGCTACCTTTCCTCCCTCCTGTTTTCCCTCCTCCTGTCTTTTGCACCAACCAGTTGCTCTCATCCAGAATATTTGAATCACTCTCTATGCCTTTTACGTTGTTCTTCTTCTTCTTTGTTTTCACTCATTTGGAACATCATTTTTATTCTTTGTGTTCATTGGTTTAAATAATCTATTATGTTTGAGGAAAAATAATAAGCACAGAATTTCATGCATTACTTCGTGTAGTTAATACTTCCATTGATTTCTTTGCTTTGTGTATGTTGATCCAGATTTCCATATGGAATCATTTTCTCTTTGCTTACAGCGCTTCCTGTAATATTTTTGTGCTGTGAGTCTGTTGCTGCTGAATTCCTTTAGCTTTTTTTATGTTTGAAAAACTGTCCCACCTTCATTTTAAAGAAATTTTTTTTCTCTGGGTGTAGAATACTAGATTGACAGGGTTTTTTTTTTCTCTTTTCTTTTTCCTTTCAGTACCTCATTATTTTCTCTCATTGCTTTTGAGGAGAAATTTGCTTGTCTTTGTTCTTCTGGATTATGATGTGTCTGTTTTCTCTGGCTGCTTTAAGATTTTCTCTTAATCACTGGTTTTGAGCAATATGCAATTTTCTTCATCTTTTGCTGAAGGTTTGTTGAACATCTCACATCAAGAGACTTATAATTTTCACCAAATTTGGAAAGCGTTTGCCCACTACTCATATTTATTTAACAAGGTTGCCTCTCCTCCTTCAGACCTGTCCCTTTGGGGACTCCCCGTGTAGACGATATCACTTGAGCTTGTCACTGATGCTCTTCTCCCTTTGAAACATTGTTTTGTGTGTTTAATTTGTCATAGCTTTTGTTGCTATATCTTTATGGTTACCAGTCTTCTACATTGTCTGATTGACATAGTTTCATCTCTGAAAGTTCTATTTTGGACTTTTGTGTATCTTCCACACCTCTAGTCAAACTTTTGACCATCTGAATCAAAATGGTCATTTTAAGTGCCTTTATCTGCTAATTTTAACCCCTATGCCAGTTTTAGGTCAGTATTGACTGTTAGAATTTTCTTCTTATAATTAGTAACCTATTCTTGCTGTTGGGCATACTTTAATTATGTCTTTGAATTTAATTTTGTTTGGTTGTTGGATATTTAACCCTATAAATCTTACTGAGCTTTGTTATGGGAGGTCGCTCACTTATTTGGAAACTGGTCCTTTGGGGTCCAGCTTTTGGCCCTCTGCAGGCGGGGCTGGAGCACTGTGAAGTATGGGGCTGATTATTCTCTGCTGCGAAGGCAAGATCTTCCTGAGTACTTTACTTTTGACCTGTGAGTTGGTTTCAGTCTGACTAGTGGGAGTGGGCACTATTCACGACCCTGTGAGCGTCCAGGCACTGTTCCTTCAAGCCTTTTGAGGTGTGGTGTCCGGGACCATTTCTCTTTTTTTCCAAACAACGGTTTCAAGTGTTACGATGTTGCGTCATATTTGTGCCAATGTGTCTTCCAGGTGCGTTGGATCGGTGTGTGATGGGGATAACAGCAGTGGAGATTCTGAATGCTTGTGATGAAACCGTTCCTGCGGCTGTTGATTCCCTCAGCCATCCTGCCGTCAACCTAAAGCAAGCCATGACAAGACGCAGTCTAGCTGCTCTTAAAAATATGGCCCATCATAAGCTGCAAACCCTTGCAACTAACCTTTTGGCATCCGAGGCATCTGACAAAGTGAGTTTCGTGTGTGCGCTCACGGTGTGGGGAGCTCCCCTTTGACTCTGCTCAACTAGGCATGTCTCAGCAAATGAAGTTTGGGAGATGACACTATTGAAAATTAATCTTCTGATTTCTGTTTACATTGTTTTAGAACGTATCAAATATTTGATTCTTTGTAAAGGTTAATTATTCTTTGTGTTTTAAATATTTTTATATTTAAAATGATTTAAAATGGTTTCTCTGAGTTAAGTGATTTCAGTTTCTAAAATTAAAGCAAACATTTCAGTCTGGTTCTTGAAGAATTGAGCACTAGCTAATATTCATTTTTTTTTTAAAAAAAAAGAATGAATTTAGGTCCAATTAAGATGCTAACTGTGACTTATCATCTAATTTCAAATCAGATTCTGGATTTACTGAGGGATTGATGACAGAATTTGAGAATAGTATGGTGGAGTTACATGTGCTGATATTTTTCTGGGAGACTTTCTGAACCCTTATAATCAAGGTTACTTCTTCTGTTAACAATATTTGTTACTGTTCATTGCCATTGAAGTGATTCTGGTTCATGGTGACTCCTCACTTTCGCGGTAGGGCTGTGACCGGTTGGAAATAGATTGCCAGACTTTTCTTTCAAAGTGCTTCTCATGAATTTCAAACTGTCAACCTTTCAGCTAGTAGTTGAGCGCATCCCATTTATGCCCCCAGGTAGGGCCTTGTAGCAGAAGATCATCATAGAAGAATGCTCGGCCCAACCAAACTCTTCCATGAAATAGTTTCCAACGCCTACTAGCCCTCGTGAGTTTCCATGGCTGTGAATCTGCAGGGGAGCCGAGAGCCTCCTCTTTATCCAGTTGAGCAGCTGCTCATTTGAATTGTGGACCTTGCCCTTAACAGCCCAATTTGTAACCCAAAAGTGAAAGAAGAGCCAATAGAGTCCCCGTTAATTGCTTGGCTCTTTGTCTTTAGTATTGTCAAGGCCAGTGCCGAGAGATGGAGTAGACTGGACAACAACTACAAACAATAGCAACAAAGCCCTGGTTTGGTTTGCGCAATGTTGGGTTAGGTCGATACTAGGAGCCTTGATGGCATAATGGGTTGCACTGAGCATTGGGCTGCTAACCCCAAGGTCTGCAGTTCAAACTTACCAGCAGCTCTGCTGGAGAAAGATTAGGCTTTCTACTCCCATAAAGAGTTAAAACCTAAAGTGAAACCTGAAGTGCCCGATAGGGTCACTATAAGTTGCCAGTGATGTGATGGCAATGAATTTGAGTTTTTGTGTGCCATACTTTTAAATCCATTTGGCTCTGGTATTGATAAATAAAAACTTGATAAAATCTCGATATTTGATCAGAATCAGTCCTTAACATTTCTAGTTCTACCTAAGAATTCATTAAAGTCTTTAATGGGTATTTACTCTCTTTTATTCCTGATTTGCATTTCCTGAATGATTACGCATGGGAATAAAAACCAAAGGAGTTCACAGGCTCTACAAAATTGAAAATTAGCTCTTGGATGAGACAGTGCTGAACACACGAACAGGCAGATACAGGCAGTTTACTGACTCATATCCTTTAGGAGTTGGCACAATATCACCCTTTAACCATTGTGTATTTCCCTAAGAGAGAAATGTTCAATTATATGTTTCATGGATTGAGATTGTGCAATTTTTTTTTCTCTCTCTTTCAGTTCCCCACCTCCCCCCAATACTTTCATTCCTTCTTTGCTGTAAAATTTTGAGGGAGGCAGGAAATTACCCTCAAATGTATTTTCCATGCCTCTGATTTCCTTCAAGGGACCACACAGGTGTTTCTAGGACCTCCTTGTTCACAACATTGTCTGGCATTATGCATTTAATATCTGAGCAGATTTATCAAACCGTATATTGAAAGGCAAACCCAGATAGTATAGGACTCCCACATACATTCTTTTTCTTGTTGGTACCTCGTAGAAGTAAAACTTTCGCAGCAACAATTATGTATCTGGAAAATTAAAGAAAAATAAGTAGTACAGTAACATTTATGAATGTCTGTGGTAAGTGGTCATGGTCCATTATGCGATTTTTACAATCTTGTTTGTCCCTGTTTTAATAGCGCATTTTATGGTGCAATTAGTGATAAAAGCCCCCGATATCAGAGACACCACACTTAGGTATTGTAAAATATATTGCTGTGAGCCTCCTCGGTCTGTAGCAGTGGTAATTGTTGCCTGGCCTACAAGGAAAACAATTATAGAAGCGGGAAAAGGCTTAGGGAGCTGAGGCTGCAGGAGGATAATCACTTTATGAAAAATGTATGTTGACTGGACCATTAGGGATTTCTCTAACTATTTTCTCATGTTGACTTTGAGGCTTCTTCTGAGGGGAATATTTAAATAGCAGTCCTTTGGCTCTCTAGCCTCAGGAGAAATAAAACCCCACCCAAAGTTACAGCAAAACCCAACAAAACCAGAAACCCCGAATAGCTCTCTGGGTGGTACAAAGCTTGCTCTGGGAGATTTTAATAATCTTTAAAGGAGGTTTGAGAAAATCATTTTGTTTAGTAACTAGTCTTTTGTTTCTACTATTTGCATGAGTGGGGTCCCTAAAATACCCGGAAAATTTTTTTTTTCTTTAAAGCTATCTTTTAAAATTATTTTATAAAACAGCCTTATCACCTTCAAAGTACTCTCCATTACACATAATACAAGTTTGTCAAGTCTACAATTCCATTCTTGAAATATTTTTCAAATTCATCTGTTTGGATGGCTGACAGTACCTCCCTCATTTTTTTCTTCACCTGTTTTACATCGTCAAATCGCTGTCCTTTCACGTCCCTCTTCGTTTTTGGAAAGATAAAGACGTCATCGGGAGCTAGGTCAGGTGAGTGAGGTGTATAGGCTGAAACTGGCACTCTGAGATGGTTGCGCAAGCAGGTGCATTGTCCTGCTGGCAAAACCAGTCCTCCATCTGCCACAAATCAGGCCTTTTTCGTTGCACACTGTTACACAATCTTTTCAGAATCTCTGAATAGAAATCTTGATTAACAGTCTGACCTGGTGGAATGAACTCCAAATGCACTATCCCCCTCTCAGCAAAAAAACAAACGAGCATTATCTCGATCTTTGATTTCACTCCGGGAGCCGTTTTTGGGCGAGGTGACAATTGCATCTTCCACTAGCTCGACTGATGTTTACTTTTGGGGTTGTGAGAATAGTCCCATGTCTTGTTACAAGTAATGACCTTGGAAAAAAGTCTGGGTCGCTTCGGAGCTGTTCTTTCAAAGGAAGGCATAATTCTAGTCCATGTACTTTTTCCTGGTCAGTCAGATCCTGAGGCACAAGTTGTACAGCCACCCTTCTCGTTCCCATGTGTTCCATTAGAATGTGCTGAACCGAGCTCCAAGGTAGTCCAGATAACCTCCCCATCTCTTCAGTGGTCCTTCATCGGTCTTCAGGCACAAGTGCACGGATTTTGTTGACATTTTCATGCATTGAGAATGTTGATGGATGTCCAGAATGAGGTTTGTCATCAATCGACTTTTCACCTTTTCTGAAATGAGAAGCCCACTCATGCACTGAGTTTTCTCACAGTGCTGTCTTTGTAAGCTGTGTTCAACATCACGACAGTTTCTGCGGCATTTTCCCCAACAGGAAGCAAAATTTCACAGCTTCATGCTGTTCTATTAAATTGGCCATCAAAAAAACCAGGTTTGAGCAAAAACTGCTTTTTTTAAAAAACATTTTATTAGGGGCTCATACAACTGTTATCGCAATCCATACACACATCAATTGTGTAAAGTGCATTTGTACATCATTCTCAAAACATTTTCTCTCCACTTAAACCCCCGACATTAGGTCCTCATTTTTCCCCTCCCTCCCCCCCCCTCCCTCATGAGCCCCTGATAGTTTATAAATGGGTATTTTGTCATATCTTGCCCTGTCCGACGTCTCCCTTCACCCACTTTTCGGTTGTCTGTCCCCCAGGGAGGAGGTCACATATAGTTCCTTGTAATCGGTTCCCTGTTTCATACCCATTCTCCCTTTACCCTCCCTGTTTTGCCACTCACACCACTGGTCCTATAGGGCTCATCCGTCCTGGATTCCCTGTATTTTCAGTTCCTATCTGTACCAGTGTACCTCCTCTGGTCTAGCCAGACTTGCAAGATAAAATTCGAGTCATGGTAGTGGGAGCAGGGAGGAAACATTTAGGAACTAGAGGAAAGTTGTATTTCTCATCATTACATCATCGCACCCTGACTGGCTCATCTCCTCCCCGAGACCCCTCTGCAAGGGGATCTCCAGCAACTGCTTTTATGAAAAAGTTCACTGTGACCAGAGAGCACCTTCCCAGACAACGCCACGGGGTACACTAACTCAGAGCACGTTGCTTGGTGCTCACCTAGCAGAAAAAAATGCATACCACTATGAGAGCTCCGCCCCATGGGACTTATTCCCATATTTTGGGGGTACCCCATTGTATATAGGACCCTTAGGAGGTTGATTCAGGCAATGACTTGTGGGAAGTGTATGGGAACCTGAAAGAGGATTAGGCAGTGGGTATGAAGAAGAGGGGATGGGTTGTAAGGTGGTGTTGTGGAGGTTGACTAAATTAGATTTGACAGATCATTGGACAAAAGCCAAAGGAAGAATGGGGTGCTCATAATGGAATTGAACAAGGTGTGGGCTAGGCATGGAGGCTAGTTATGGCATTATCCTCTTCTCGAGAGCAGTGGGAGGTGGGGCACTTACAGGGGGATCTAGATCTCCTTACAAAGGAGTGTTACGCAGGTGAAGGTAGAGATGGAAGTTTTTCTAGTGTGTCCGAGTCTGTGGTAGAGGACAAGTCTCGTTTGGGGTGCATGCTGTTACCGTTTTTTTTTAAAGATAGAATCACTTCCTCGATTCCCACTGCAAATAAGCCTGCTGGTTATTCCTGTCCATACCTTTGGCAAATGATGAGCCTCAAGGAGAGTAGATTAAACCAGAGATTGACACTTTCCCCCTAAAAGTACAAGGCCAGGCAGCAAATATATGCATTT